ACACCCCCCCACACACACACACACACACACACACACAGATACACAGACACACATGTACACTTTAAAGGCCTGTTTAGGAACCATAACGATAACTACAACTACAACATTAACCATAGCAACAACAATAACTATAAGAATATAATATAACTGAAAAGATAACTATTACCATAACTAGAATGATAACTATGATGACAGATATAACGATAACTGTAGCTATAATAACTATATCTATGGCAACAAATATAATGATAACTATAACAATAATTATAGCAATAACTATAATGAAAACAATAATTAACAATAACTGTAACTGTAATAACTATGATAACTTCGATGAACATTAACGATAAGTATTATGACTAATGATAACTATAGCGTTAATTATAATGACACTGTAACAACTATACTATAACAACTATGAGGTCAACTATAATGATAACAATAACTATAACGACAATTATAACAATAACTATGACGATTATGATAACATCAATAGCAATGATGACAACTATAACAACAACTATAACGATAACTATAAATATAATATCTATGATGACAACTATGATGATAACAAAAAGTATGAAGAGAACTATGACGATAATTGTAACGATAACTAAAACGCTAAGTAAACAATAACAACAACAGATTATATGGTTCTGTTTATAATAAGTGCACTTCAGTTTTAGCGTCTGCTGCTTTAAATGCTCGAGCTCTTTAAAGCCAGATGGATTCTGATCGTTCATGAAAAAAAAAAGAAGAAATAATCGCTCTGAAAAGTGATTCCAACGATATCATTCCTCTGTCGTTATCATTTTAGTCGTGGTGTGGACGAGGGTTGTGCAATATATATCGTCTGCGATAATATTATAATTGTTGTTTTAACGATGTGCGATTTGACATTATCGAGTATTTTGCAAAAACCATTCAAAACACCCCTACAGAGTGCACGCATACATTACATGAAGTCTAGACTAGTGCGTGTTCTTTCACTGCATGATTCAGTCTATTAAAATACATTTAGAATGATCACAAATTCAAGACATGGGGGCAAAAAATTTATATATTTTACCACTCCATATAGTTAATCAATTTCACACGAAGAGTGCTGTTTTTCTCCAAATATTACCATGATTACAAATGTGATATTGATTTTTTACAACAGTTCAATAAACAAGTTAACTAAGAGACTTACGTTTTATACACTATATTGCCTGTTTTTGCTCTATTTCGACAGCAAAAATAATTCCAAACAAAGCCACAGCACTGTTTAGTGTCTCTGAGCAAATAACGGTGATTCATTCCTGAATGAATCAACTGTTCAAATGATTCGGTTCAGTCGCAGTGACTCACTTATTAACAGTGACCTGCTGGCTGTTTTAATTTCACATTCAAAGTATCTTTTCATTTTTAAAATAATTTCAAATATCAGTATTCAACGTTTTATGTTTAATATATCAAAACATTATTTATGCATTTGTAATCGCAGGTTAAAGCATTCATGTCTTGCATTAAACAGTGTGTAAATACATCTAAATATATTTACTTCAGATGCAGCTTCTGTGTTGATTTAATTTGCTTGGTAACAGCCCAAATGTCTTATTATTCTAATTCCCTGATTAAATGTAAGAATTTGACTCAAAAGATAATAGACACTTTTAGAAAAAATGGCTTTATAAAAGTAAAAATGCCCATAAAATGTAAAAATCAGTTTAAACTTATTGGAAAAGATTAATTTCTCTCAGTGTGAACTGACCACCACACAGAATATGAAGAATATTAAAAACATTAGGAGTCAGCTGTCTGTGGTAGTGGCACAATAACACACTCAGCAAAATATAGTGTAATTATCGTTATCGATAAAATCCCAGAAAATATTTAGATTTTTTTTTTTTGTCAATATCGCACACCCCTAGTGTGGACTCACTATTCTCTTAGAGTTAGAGTGATTATTAAAACTATGGTTACAGCTATAGTTTGTGGTGAACTCATGACAGTTCAGGTGAAAGTGAAGAATCTTACCTGTCATGATGCCAGCGTCCACAGCCTGCAAACACACACACACACACACACACACACACACACACACACACACACACAAATGAGCAAACACAAA